AGGGGCAGGACACACCCAGAAAGATAAGCCCTGGAGACGAGTCTCAGTGCTCTCAGCCTTTGTCTCCTACGCCCCTCACGGGCAGGGCAGCGGACAACTTCCAGCCTGGGGAGAGGGAACTGGCCCCAGGCTAAACATTAACTCGATGGCAAACACTGGGAGCTGGGACCAAGTGGTACCCCTCCCTGTATAGAGCAGCGGGAGGGAGAGGGTGGAGGAGTCCAGGAGAAAAACAGATGGATCTTGGTGGAACATTGGCCTCACCCAGGAAGAAACCAATGGAGACCCTCAAAGGAGACGCTGGACTTTCAACCAGATCTGGGTAGGGAGGAGCCAGATGTGGGATAAGGGGCAGTGGAGACGGGGGAGGTGACCCAGCAAAGGAAGGAGAGAGGTGGGTGGGAGAGAGCGTAACAGAGAAAGGCGGAGCGGAGCGGGACCGGAAGTGGTCTCACCTGGAGACGGCGCCGCTCTGGAGACAGTTAAGATGGGGGCACGGGGGTCCATGGGTAAATAACAGAGGGGAGCTCGACGGAGGCAGAGGAAGCAGAGGCCATCCCCGAAAAAAACAACAACAACAAAAAAACGGGCCGCCAAGGTGTCCTCAGCGATGCCTTTCAGCGCTCACTCCCACTTTCCTCATTGTCCCCCATCGTTCGAATTTCATTCCTACAAAGCTTCGTCCTCTCGTTCAATAGTATGTCTGCCAGGCCTGCCTGGTCATTCCACAGGGCCGGCACCATCCCTCTTCCCCACTGGGCAGCCAGCATCCCCAACGGGGACCAGCAGGCCACTTGGGCCCTGAAGTCTCAGGGCAGCCGCCAGGGTCTGGGCTCCCATCCTCTGACCTCAGAAACCTTCCTTTCCCCACGTTGCCACAGAGATGACTGACCCTCCAGGAAAGAGGTGAGGCAGGTGAGGAAGCACCTTTGTCCACCTGGAGCACCGGGGGAAAGACTTCTGTGACTTGCCTTCATCCAAGATGCATGAGCCCGCTGCGTCCAGGGGGGCCATCTTTGGGGGGCAGATTGCACCCCTCCTGCCCCTAACTCTCCCCTTGGGCCCCTGTTTCTGCTCATCCTTCCACTCGTGTATCCCCCAAGCTGGGGGCCTTGACTAATAAAACTGGGGTAGTCAAAGGGGGGTTCAGGGGCAGTAGATGTGATGAGGCCTGGCAGGGACTCAGGCAGACGGCCCGGCCTTCAAACCCCACCCTTGACCTGAATATCCCTGGCTGGAGACCAGAGGCTCTTGCCTCAGTCCTTCCACGTGTCCCTGGGGTCCAGCCACCTCCCTCCATGGGACCCACGCTTTATAAAGGCCAAGATGGTTTGTCATCATGGTGACAGTTCCTCCCTGGCTAAACAGGTAAAAATAAAATGCAGAAGAGAGGCAGGTGGAGGGGGAGGCTGGGGAGGGACAGGGTGGGGTTGGGGGGGCTTCCTCTCACATCAGAGCCAGGCTACTCCAGTGGGCCTGAGACGTTCTCGCAACAGTCGGCAAGCCTGTGCTGACCCTCCCTGTCCTGAACCCGGCCAGGCATTTCTAACTGTCCCTAGGGCTGGGGACGACAGAGCCTTTGCTTATCGGAAGGATGTCCAGTGCCAGCGATGGAGCCTCAGGCAGCAGAATAGCTGGAGAGCCACCAGCGGTGTCAGGAGAGGGATCAGAGAGGGCTGTCGCAGAGCTGAGAAGGAGACACGGGGTAGCCTTCCTGATGGTCAAAGTCCAACCCCCTAGGCCAACGCAGCGGTGAGGCAGGAGGACTGAGCAGATCAAGGGAAAACAGAGAACCAGGTCACAGCAACAGGGGCAGGGCAAGGGCCTCCTGAGAAACCAGGAATGGACTGGGGGGGCAGTGCTAGGGAGTGCGGGTGATGAACTGAAGTTTCCTGATGGGGCCTCTGCGCACGAGTGCTGACACACACACACAGCATACCGCAGGAGCGCGGGCCCCAGAGGACGGGGGTACCACACACCCGTGGGCACGGACTCAGGTGGTTCTGAGCTCAGGCAGGGAAACTCCCAGGACCTGGCTTCCCAGTGGAGCCAGAGCATCCAGCCTAGGAGCACAGCCACGCTCAGGCGGTGCCCACGGAGAAACGCACTGGTACCATCAGAGTGGGCATTCATGGGGGTGCCACTTGTGTGAACACGCAGCATCTTGCTTCCTCCACAGACACCCAGGGGTGGACCAGCCCAGAGCTGGGGCATCAGCCTCAGGACGAGAGCAGGGTTTTACTTGGAAAAGGGGGGGTCCCGGTGTTGCTTTAAGCTGGCCTCTCTAGAGCTCTACCCATTGTGGCAGCTGATGACCCTCCGGACGTGAAAACACATAAAGAAAAAATGCTGAGATGCACTAGACACAGCCCCTGACATCTGTGGCTCAGGCCGGCTGGAGACCCCTTCGCCTCCCAGCTTCCCTCCCTTCTGCTCAGCTTCTGCCGCTGCCTCCCAATGCCCACCTGCCATTTCTCTCTCCCTCCCCGACGCTGGTCCATTCTGCTCCCTGTTCCGCCCGCAAGTCAGGATGTCCACAGTGGAAGTCCGGCAGTACCAGGAAGAAGGCAGCACCCCGGGGCCGGGTGGCAGACACAAGGGGCCACGTGTGTCTGGCAACCCTGAATCGGGGAGCAGGGGAAGCAGGAGGGCAGCAGGAACAAATTTGTGGATGGGCCCCATGTCTGGTATGGCTGAGCTTCCAGAAGCAGCCCTAGTGTGAGAGCGAGAGGCCGGGAGGGGATCTCTGAACGCTGCTCAGCAGAGCCCCTTGTGCACTTGGCCTCTGTGAGTTAATGATTTGTGCTGGGTGGAGAGTCAGTGTCTCTGGAATCCATCTGGGGTGAGGGGTGGAGGGTGAAGGGAGACAGCCTAGGATTAATGGAGGGTGAGGGCAGGAAAGGCCTGGGAACCGGGTGGATTCTGGAGGACGACTGTATAAGGAGATTCACAGAGCGAGTGAGGGCGGGCTGTTCCAGTACGTCTCCGCTGCAGGTGGAATCCACCAGGAAGCAGCGCTCGGCCATGCCGGGCTCCTCTGTCTGTCACTTATCTGCCATCAGAACGCCTGACCTCTGGCCCCATGTGGCAGCTGGCCTACCACCACCGTCCAGCCGAGCGGCGGCATCTATTTCTAGCCTGTTGCTCTGCTGAGGGCTCAGACGCCAGTTCTCCTCTGTGGGGCTGAGGGAGAAATTAGGAGTGAAAGGAGGGGAAAAGTGGGGTGGAGGCGGAGGGTGGGGAAGTAAACCTGCTAGAACCAGAGAGGGAAAGAAAGCCAGCCCGGAGAAGGAAAGTTAGAAAGGAGAGCGGCAAGCAGAGGTGGAGAAAAGAAAACAGGGGAGTCAGCGAGGAAAGGGTAGGTGAGGATTCAAGGGAAAGGAAACGTGAGACGGAACAGAAAAGCTTGCTGGAAAGAGGAAAGGAGAGAAAGGAGTAGATAAGAGGGAGAGGGTGGAGACAGCAGCAAGGCTGAGGATCTGCCCGTCCAAATCTGGTCGATTTAATTGTCCCCTGGGTCTGCAGCCACGTGTTCCCTGTTCCCCTCTGAGGCACTGATTTTACAGTACCCCTCGGGAGCATGGACGATTTCGTGACGGAAAGGATGCTGGAGGCCCCACCCACTCCCAGGAAAGCATTCTCCATCCCCTCTACGTCCTCCCACACAGGAGCTCCTCTCCCCTCCAGGATGTCAGCTCTAAGCCACGGGGAGGCCACAAGCCCAGGTGAAGACCACTGTGGGTCCGAGGGGGCCTGAGGGGCTAAAATCCGGCTTCTCCCACCCACAGGCCACCTAAGCCCTCAACTCCCCTCCTGCCGGCACAGCCCACCAACCTCTGCCTTGCCTGTGCTGGGTGAGGCTACGGCTGGGATCCATCAACCCTACCTCTGCTTGGTCCCCTGAGCAGCAGGAGGTGGGAAGCCACGGGGCTGACGGACATGTGCTTGACTGTGGGGAACTGCTGAGCCCTGTGGGAAAGCACCCTCCACACAGCGATTCCGGCCCAAGTCCCTGCGTTAAACCCAAGCCCCTCCCCCCTCCTCCTGCCGCTCCCCCTCGCCAGAGCGTCCTCAATGCCCGTCTCCCAGGCACCCGCTCCGGCACCTTCTCCAAGTCCACGCGACCTGCTGCAGCAGGGCCTGGTGTTAGGGGAGCGGGGAGGATGCGTCCACGTGACCATCAGGGTCAAGCACGGGCAACAGCAAGCTCAGGGATGAAAGGCAGTGACCTGAGACCGGGCCACGGCTGCCCGTCCGTCCACTGTGCAGCCGCAGAGGTCGGCGCATGACCGGGCAGGCCGCTGAGACTTCAGCCAACTGCTCCTCACGGGAAAAGTTCAAAACCCTGTGGCCCCGGCTCTGTGACCCAGAGGATGTGGCCTCTGCAGGGACCGCTTACTCCACGATCGGCTTCCGCGTAGGAGCGCCTGGCTGGACACCGCAGGGACGACCCCAGAGCCGGGGATGTGTTCTGGGAGGAGTGTGCCCGTGGGACTACTGGGGGCACCCAGGGGCAGCAGTCACTTTCCGTTACATGAGACACAGCCTCGCTACAAACGGGCAAGTTGTCTGGCTGCTTTTTCCCCAAAATGTCTTGGTTAAGGGGAGGAAACCTCGGCCCTAAGTTTAGGCCCCAGGACTGTCCCGTCCCAGAGTTCTGTCTGGCCTTGGAATGCCTCCCCAGCCCGGTCTCCTCCGTCAGGGCTGGAGGGCCATTGTCGGGGATTCTAGCAGGGGGACGAGGCAGCCCGTCCCTGCTTGGTCTCCAGGAATCGAACCCTCCCTCACCAGCAGTCCTGTCCTGCTACAGAAGAGAACCATGGTGTCTGGTTTTTGAGGGAGGGGGTCTGGTCAGGGGAAAAGCCCACCTTTCTAGGCCCCTAAGTTTGCCCGAGCCCACAGGGAAGCCACGCTGCGCCCCCCATGCCTCCATCCCCCGAGCACGGCCACCCCCCACCCGCCTTACACGAGCCCAACAAGCAGAGAAAAGGGATACTTACATTATACCAACTCTGGCTTTTCTGAAAAAAACAAAGTAAAAGAGAAGCAACGTTAGTCAGCGAGAGACGGCGGGAATGGCCAGAGCATTCCTGACTCCAGAGGGAAGGTTACACAGACAGCGGAGGGCGGGCGGGGAGGAGGAATCCCAAGGCAGCTGAAGGCTCCCCGTGTTGTTGCTCGGGGTGGGGGTCCTCCTTTCTCAAGACAGCTCCCGAAAGGAGGCCCAGGGAGCGGTCCATGCTGGAAGCCCCCGCGGCTGGGATGGCAGGCAGCGCAGCACCAGCTAGAGCTCGGCCGGAAGGGAGCAGACCCCATCACAAGGTTCTTCTGATGGGGGCGAGGGATGCACTGCAGGCATCCGAGACCCAGTCCCCAGTGGGCCCTGATCAGAAGCAAAGTACCCACGGAGACCAACACAGCCGTCCACCCAAGTCGGCCCCCCTGCAAGGCAGGGTGGGACCCTCTGGTGTCGGGGAGTCCAGGGACTGCCTAGAAACTTCCCTCCAACTCAGTAAATTCCTCCTTCTGCCCAACTGGCTGATCACGTAAGTGACAGTGGCCAAGGAGTGGTTGGGGGCTGTGTGTTGGGAGGAAGGCTGAAGCACATAATTGCTAAAGGTCCTTCCCGACTTCATGGGGTTAAAATTCAATACCAACAAACCCTGGTCCGTCCCGACTCCAGAAATCAGGTGCTCTCCATTCCCAACCCTGAGCAAAGGTAACAAAGTTTTTTAGGGAA